CCAAAACAACAAAAACATAACAATCGAACAACAAACAAAGGGGGGAAAAGGGAGGGCCCCAAACCCGTGCCCCAAGTGCATAAAAGTAATACTGATTCACTGGTTCCATCTGTGTGGTTGTTTTAAGTCCAGTGTTCCCAGGCTGTTGTTACATTAGTATCATTTGAGGGGTGTGCATCACGAGCAAAGTCATTGTATTATTTTACTTCATCTGTGGAAACCATTAGCACAGGCAAGTCTGATTAGGCTTAGCCAGAGTCATTTATTTCTTAATATATGGCTCTGGGCTTAGCTATACCACAGCCTCTGCCATAGAAACAAACAGAGCATGACTTTGTGTCTGTGTTCGGAACTTTACAATGCAGAAAGCCGCTCATCTCTAGACCAAATCGTTAAAAACTAAAGACCTATTTTACCGGAGCTATACTCTACTAAACTGTACACGCTATAATCTGCTATACTCTACTCTACTAAACTATACGCTATAGTCTACTACACTCTACTAAAATATATGATATAGTCTACTATACTAAACTATATGATATAGTATACTATACTATGCTCAACTATACACTATATTCTACTATACTATACTATACTCTACTTAACTATACACTATACTCTACTAAACTATACACTATAGTCTATTATACTCTACTAAACTATACGCTATAGTCTACTATACTATACTCTACTAAACTATACACTATAGTATATTATACTATACTATACTCTACTAAACTATACACTATACTCTACTAAACTATACACTATAGTATATTATACTCTACTAAACTATACGCTATAGTCTACTATACTATACTCTACTAAACTATACACTATAGTCTACTATATTCTACTCTACAAAACTATACGATATAATCTACTATACTCTACTAAACTATACACTATAGTCCACTAAACTCTACTAAGCTATACACTATAGTCTACTATACTATACTCCTATTCTCTTTTATACACCACTTGTACTACTTTGATTCCTATATTCTAATCCCTGTATTATCTATATGTTTCAATCATGTTCAGTAGAATAGTCTTACTGTCTACTTCAATTCTCTATGATATTCAGTGTTTCTTCCTTCCAAGCGATCCTTTTTTACCCCCTTTAAGATAGTGAGAACTTCCTTTTCTACCCCCTTTAATATAGTGATAACTTCCTTTTCTACCCCCTTTAATATAGTGATAACTTCCTTTTCTACCCCCTTTAAGATAGTGATAACTTCCTTTTCTACCCCCTTTAAGATAGTGATAACTTCCTTTTCTACCCCCTTTAAGATAGTGATAACTTCCTTTTCTACCCCCTTTAATATAGTGATAACTTCCTTTTCTACCCCCTTTAATATAGTGATAACTTCCTTTTCTACCCCCTTTAATATAGTGATAACTTCCTTTTCTACCCCCTTTAAGATAGTGATAACTTCCTTTTCTACCCCCTTTAAGATAGTGATAACTTCCTTTTCTACCCCCTTTAATATAGTGATAACTTCCTTTTATACCCCCTTTAATATAGTGATAACTTCCTTTTCAACCCGTTTAAGATAGTGATAACTTCAGTTTATTACCCCCTTTAAGATAGTGTTAAATTCATTTTCTACCCCCTTTAAGATAGTGATAACTTCCTTTTCTACCCCCTTTAAGATAGTGATAACTTCCTTTTCTACCCCCTTTAATATAGTGATAACTTCCTTTTATACCCCCTTTAATATAGTGATAACTTCCTTTTCAACCCATTTAAGATAGTGATAACTTCCGTTTTTTACCCCCTTTAAGATAGTGTTAACTTCCTTTTCTACCCCCTTTAAGATAGTGATAACTTCCTTTTCTACCCCCTTTAAGATAGTGATAACTTCCTTTTCTACCCCCTTTAAGATAGTGATAACTTCATTTTCTACCCAGTTTCAGATAGTTGTAAGTTGTTCCCTCTATATTTCCTGTGTTGTCCTGTGTTGTGAGCATACTCTCTGTGTGTGAATCCTTCTGGTGCTCTACAGCTCGGTTCTTCTTTCTTTCTTCCTTTGTTTTTTCTTTGTTTCTGCTTCCTGTCTGTACACCAAGATCCATCATGTGTCTCTTTTAGCTGGATGGGACGGGGACGGACCTTGATCTCCACGACGACCGCATGTCCTGCCTGTCAGCCATGTCGGCCGACTACCTGAGCATGGACAGCCGACTGGCCAGCGACTATGATGACACGGCGGACGAGGGCGGGGCTTATACGGATAACGAGCTGGACAATGAACCGACCGACCAACTACCGGTGTCGGCTATAAGCCGCTCCTCTGAGCCCGTGCTGGCAGAGGAGGTTAGAGGCACACCGCGACACACACACACACACACACACACACACACACACACACACACACACAGATGCAACCCACTTCAGAGAAGATTGTGATGTCCTAACTTCACAGCCGCTAGTCTATTGAGAGCTGTAAGAATCTTGTCTGCCCTCTACAGTTGAAACACATCATTACACCAATGAAATCTGTCTCCAGTCCAGTCAATGCCTAAGTGACCAGAATCAATACCATCTGGTTAACATTTATTTGGGTTGTTTCAGGAACCCAATGTGTCCAATTTAATTTAGCAAAACATCCGTTTTTTAAATAGAGGCTATTCAGCACTATGATAATAGTGGACCCAAAGGCCTGTGGCCAGTTTCTCTCTAGTACAGTACTCTAGTAGTTAGAAAAAGACTGGAAACACTGGCAGGATGACTTTAACATTTCATAAGGGAACTGTATCATTAGCTGTGCAAGAATCTTCAAATCTTTGTGTGTGTGTGTGTCTGGCTGTGTGTCTGGCTGTGTGTGTGTGTGTGTGTGTGTGTGTCATAGGGGTAGGAGTATATAACAGTTTTACATACTAACATGGCATGGTGTGACCTTTGACCCAGCCTGTAAATCTACGTGGTACTTGCTGTTGACCTTGCCCTGTGTGTCTGTGTGTGTGTGTGTGTGGTCAGATCCTGCGCAGGTGCAGTGCAAAGATCCGTGGTGGCGTCAGGAGGGTGGGCAGCAGGGAGATGCTCAGCAGTGCCAGCCCAGCACACGTGTTTGTACCTGACCCCCCCAAGGTGAGACACCCACACACGCTTGACTCTGTGCTGAACTCCATCATCAATTATTTGTGGAACTATCATTACATATTTCATGCCTCTCTCTCCACTCATGTGTCCCATGTCATTGGTCAGTCAGTCAGGCTAGTCTGTGTTTAGCCCCATGTCATTGGTCAGTCAGTCAGGCTAGTCTGTGTTTAGCCCCATGTCATTGGTCAGTCAGGCTAGTGTGTGTTTAGCCCCATGTCATTGGTCAGTCAGGGCTAGTGTGAGTTTAGCCCCATGTCATTGGTCAGTCAGGCTAGTCTGTGTTTAGCCCCATGTCATTGGTCAGTCAGGCTAGTCTGTGTTTAGCCCCATGTCATTGGTCAGTCAGGCTAGTGTGAGTTTAGCCCCATGTCATTGGTCAGTCAGGCTAGTGTGAGTTTAGCCCCATGTCATTGGTCAGTCAGGCTAGTCTGTGTGTTTAGCCCCATGTCATTGGTCAGTCAGGCTAGTCTGTGTTTAGCCCCATGTCATTGGTCAGTCAGGCTAGTCTGTGTTTAGCCCCATGTCATTGGTCAGTAAGGCTAGTGTGTGTTTAGCCCCAGTCGGGTGTGTGAGTTTAGCCCCCGTTTGGTCAGTCGGCTAGTGTGAGTTTAGCCCCCTGTCATTGGGGCGTCAGGTAGTCTGTGTTTAGCCCAGTCATGGGCGTCAGGGAGTCTGGTTTAGCCCCATGTCATTGGTCAGTCGGCTGTCGGTTTTTGCCCCAGATTGGTCAGCAGGCTGTGTGTGTTTAGCCCCTGTCATTGGTCAGTAGGCAGTCGTTTAGCCCCATGTCATTTGGGCAGTCGGTAGCTGTTTTAGCCCCCGTCAGGTCAGTCAGGTAGTTGAGTTTAGCCCCCTGTATTGGTCAGTGGCAGTGGAGTTTGCCCATGTCAGGGTCAGAGGTAGTCTGTGTTTAGCCCCATGATTTGGGCGCAGGTGTTGTGTTTTGCCCCCTGTCAGGCGTGGCTAGTCTGGTTTAGCCCCATGTCATTTGGGCCCGTCGGCTAGTGTGAGTTTAGCCCCTGTCATTTGGGCAGTGGCTAGCTGTGTTTAGCCCCATGTCATTGGTCAGTCAGGCTAGTCTGTGTTTAGCCCCATGTCATTGGTCAGTCAGGCTAGTGTGAGTTTAGCCCCATGTCATTGGTCAGTCAGGCTAGTGTGAGTTTAGCCCCATTGCTCTTATAGTCACTTACTGACAACACCCCTTAGCTCTCACACTCCCCTTCCCTCTGAAGAATGATCTGATCTGGAGAAATCACGCCCGCCGTGGCTCGGCTTCCTCCAACGGCAGCTTCAACGCTGGTACCTACTTAGCCTAAAGTGACTCCCAGAACTCTCTGTGGTGCTTGAAGTCTACATGCTACAGGACCATGGTGCTTGTCTAGGGAGCTGTGAGGGAGAACGGCACCTCCTTACCTTCCGGCTCTGATCAGACCCTACACCCAAACGAGGCACTACGTTCATCCACCTCTGGCCTGCTAGCCTCCCTACCTCTACGGAAGCACAGTTCCCGTTCAGCCCAGTCAAAGTTATTCGCTGCTCTGGCACCCAAATGGTGGAACAAGCTCCCCCACGACGCCAGGACAACGGAGTCACTGACCACCTTCCGGAGACACTTGAAACCCTACCTCTTTAAGGAATACCTGGAATAGTCTAACAGTAATCCTTCTACACCCCCCCCCTCCCCCAGTGGTGGTTGTCCCACTGGCTATCCTAAGTTGAATGCACCAATTTGTAAAGTTCTTGGTGCGTATGACAATCCCTCAGACTGAAAGCGTGAAACCTCACAGTCAGTGGTTTGAACTTTTGTGTCTGTTGAACAGATCTTCTAGATTACTGTACCTGTGTTCTGAACTGTTGTAGAGAAATAGATGTCCATTGTTTGGTCGGTGTGATCTTTGTCAAAATGTGGCATTGTTAGGGAGAGTCTGCTAGGGAGAGGACAACCTGAGGCTTCTCCTCTGTTGTAAATGGACAGTGAGGTAGTGAGGGTGGAAAGCCTAAAGGAAGGATCATTTATTCAAGCGTCACTTAAATGTTTCTAGTCAGAAATCTCCTATTCACCTACACAAAGGTTTGAGTTGCGTATATGTGACTGACCCTGTCTGGTCCCCATAGAAATATAATGATTTCATTGACTGAATCAAATCACACCCTGTCTGGTCTCCATAGAAATAGAATGATGTCATTGACTGAATCAAATCACACCCTGTCTGGTCCCCATAGAAATAGAATGATTTCATTGACTGAATCAAATCAAAATGATTTGATTCATTCTAATTCTATGCTGGTCCCCCTCCCCTCTCCCCACCTCTCCCTTCCTTTCCCCTCCAGGTGAAGTTGGTGTTCAGGGAAGAGATAGTCCCTCCCTGGGGGGTGATAGGGGCGTACGACCCCCCCCCCAGCCGAGGCTACGACTCCCACTCCTCCAGCCCTGCCAGCAGCGACCCCCCTCCTCTCCCTCGCACCCTCAACTCCTTCGGCAAGGCCAAGCCCCTGGCACTGCAGCCCCCCATCGCCCTCAAACCCTCCTATAATACCCAGGACACCGCCAGCAGCACAGCCCCAGTCACGGTGGCCCCTACGGGCCCGGAGGAGCCAGAGGACCCCAGCCTCAAGTCATTCCTGGGGAAGGTCAAGGCCTTTGAGAAGATGGACCACTTTGCACGTGCTCAGAGGATGCTGGAGCTGCAGGAGGCACAGAACGCCAGGGTGAGGGAGGGGAAGGGGTGAGGGGGTTGGTGGGTGGGTGTGGCTCGTGTGTTTGTGTGTGTGTGTGTGTGTGTGTGTGTCTGTCTGTGTGTGTGTGTGTGTGTGTGTGTGTGTGTGTATGTGTGTGTGTGTCTGCTAGTCTATGTGTTGCCATCACAGCATCAGATTTCATATCTCTCTGTCTCCTCCCTCCAGTTGGAGATAGCTCATAAGCACCCAGACATCTATGCTGTCCCCCTGAAGACCCAGAAACTGGATCACAGCCGGCCTCAGCCTATAGGGTAGGAGCACAACATGGGAGTGTGTTGTGATGGGTTCGGCTGTCTACGTACTGTTGTTACTCTATATTCATCCACGTGTGTGGAGTTTTACTGAATTCTATTGTGAGTGTGTTTGGAAGTTTAACACCCTCAGCTGTATGTTAACCTGTCCTGTGTGTGTGTCTGGTTGTGTGGTGTGGTGTTGTGCGTGTGTCTGTCGGGTGTGGTGGTCTGTTGGTGGTCTGTGTGTGTCTGTGGGGTCTGTCTGTGTGTGTGTGTGGTTTGTGTCCTGTGTGTCCTGTGTGTGTGTCTGTCTGTCTGTGATGTTGGTGTGGTGTGTGTGTGTGTGTGTGTGTGTGTTGTTCTGTGTGTCTTGTGTCTTGTTTTCTGTGTGTCTGTGTGTCCTGGTTGTTTCTGTTGTTTCGTGTGTGTGTGTGTGTGGTGTGTGTGGCTGTGGTGTCCTGTGTGTCCTGTTGTGGTCTGTGTGTTGTGGTGGGGGTGTGTGTGTCTGTGTCCTGTGTTGTGTGTAGTGTGTGTGTTGTGTGGTGTGTGTGGTGTTTGTGTGTGTTGTGTTGTGTGTCTGTGATGTCTTGTGTTTTGTGTCTGTGTTCTGTGTCTGTGGTGGCTGTGTGTGTGTGTGTGCGTGTGTCTGTCTGTGTGTGTCTGTGTGTCTGTGTGTGTCTGTGTGTCTGTCTGTGTGTGTGTGTTTGTGTCTGTGTGTCTGTCTGTGTGTGTGTCTGTCTGTGTGTGTGTGTGTGTGTGTGTGTGTGTGTGTGTGTGTCTGTGTGTGTGTGTGTGTCTGTCTGTGTGTGTGTCTGTCTGTGTGTCTGTGTGTCTGTGTGTCTGTGTGTGTGTGTGTGTGTCTGTGTGTGTCTGTGTCTGTGTGTGTGTGTGTGTGTGTGTGTGTCTGTGTGTCTGTGTCTGTGTCTGTGTCTGTGTGTCTGTGTGTTTGTGTGTGTGTGTGTGTGTGTGTCTGTGTCTGTGTCTGTGTCTGTGTGTCTGTGTGTGTGGGTTCAGTTCCAGCTCGCATCCTGAGCCCCAGACCCCTCCCTCCAAGCTGCCGTACTCTGAGAGTCGTGGGTTCTACCTCAGCGAAGAGGAAGAGGAGTACCGACGCCAGCTGACCGAACACACCACGAGAGGCTACTACCAGGTCAACAACCAGAAATACCAGGACACAGAACTGTAGACTACACCATCAACCAGAAATACCAGGACACAGAACTGTAGACTACACCATCAACCAGAAATACCAGGACACAGAACTGTAGACTACACCATCAACCAGAAATACCAGGACACAGAACTGTAGACTACACCATCAACCAGAAATACCAGGACACAGAACTGTAGACTACACCATCAACCAGAAATACCAGGACACAGAACTGTAGACTACACCATCAACCAGAAATACCAGGACACAGAACTGTAGACTACACCATCAACCAGAAATACCAGGACACAGAACTGTAGACTACACCATCAACCAGAAATACCAGGACACAGAACTGTAGACTACACCATCAACCAGAAATACCAGGACACAGAACTGTAGACTACACCATCAACCAGAAATACCAGGACACAGAACTGTAGACTACACCATCAACCAGAAATACCAGGACACAGAACTGTAGACTACACCATCAACCAGAAATACCAGGACACAGAACTGTAGACTACACCATCAACCAGAAATACCAGGACACAGACTGAAGTGTAGCACTGTTATGCACCCTACCACACTTCCCTGTTCAAATCCTAGGACACTAAACTGTAGTGGCCCTCCTCTGCTGTACCCTCGACCACCTCATACCACCCTATAGTTCTAACACACAGGGCTGGTTGACAGAGACGGACACACACACTGCTGAGCCCTGCTCTGATCCACCTAGCTCAGCTTCAGCGTGCACACACACACACACACACACACACACACACTTAGCATTCCACTGGGGCTCCGCCCCCCTTGCCTGGCCCTGCACCGATCCGCTGCTGACTAGGAAGACGTCCCGCTTTTACATTTTTCTTAAAGAGCTTTTTTGCTTCAAATAAGTAAATGGACCTGTCCTCGCCATGTGGATAGAACCTTCTGGTCTTTATTATTATTATTATTATTATTATTATTAATCCTCTTTCTTTCTGTTTGCTTGTTTGATTGAGTGGTTTCAGACTGTTCTTTTGCTACACTGTCTGTCCTGTGCTGTTGTTATGGTTATGATATGTTTAATCAGGAGACATGTTATTTCTTGCCTATGCAACTCCTTCAGTTTGTACTGCAGAGCAACTCGAACCTCTCCTCACTCTGCCAGAACCTGAAACCTTGACAACTGTTCCAAGCTATGGCTTTTTTCTGCTCCTCACTCCTTGTCTTTGTACTATATTCAGTTGAACCAGCTGCCTCTGTATATTCTTATATATACAATGTCTAGTGTTTATACTCCTCTATCTTGGCATTCCTTCCTATATGATCATGCGTGTGTATACATACAGTATATATTATCTATATATATATATATATATATATATATATTTAGAGAGAGAGAGCGAGAGCGAGAGAGAGCGCAAACGAAAGAGACATTCTATTATATATATAATACACTGGAATTTGTTACGATTTTTTGAAGTGCCTTTTACTTTCAGATGAACATGAGGTTTGGGGACGCCGGTGCATGGCGCTGTCCCCTGGACCCCACTATTCAGCTGCTCTCAAGCTTTTAGGGAAAACAGGGCACAAGAGACACCAAAACCTTAATACTGTCCCTACTCTACTGGCTGTCCATCCGTCCCTCTGTCCCCTCCTCCACAACGACACCCTCTGTGTCCAGTCCTGCACTGTATGTCTCCCAGAGACATGGCCAAGATGGGGACAACATTCAATCAAAACCGCTTTCCGGGTTTCCTTGTTAAGATGACGATAACATTCCTCAAGCATGTTTGGACATTGACATAATGTTCACTGCGTCTTTCGCAAGAGTAAGGTGCTATTTGTCTTACTCGAAGAAACCTGGAGCACCGGTTTTGATTGAATATCACCCCAGATCAGGGGGGTTCAGGGAGGAGGAGGTGTGAGTTAGGCAATGTGTGATTGGTTGATATGTGTCAGTAATTTCTGTGTTGGAGTCTGTTCTGTCCGTTATGGTCTCAGCTCCACTGTCCATGTGTTTCTACTTGTTATTACATGCTTGATTTTATCTCAGTTCACACTATACATCCACCAATGGGTTACAAGTGCTAATAATTTAACACACAGTACTCATGGAGCAGAGGAGAGAGAGAGAGGGAGAGAGAGAGAGAGCTTGGGTCTGTCGTGGAGTTTCACCTTACAACACCAAATATAATAAACAGTCTTTAACTGACCAAGTGGAGAATGTCTTATTTTTTTTACTCTGTGATTGAAGCACTAAGGGCTTTTAAAGCGTGGAATCAAAAAGGTTCTCATCCACTTCCCCATTCATCATCCTATCAAAACCAAGAATTAACCAGTTTGAATACCTTTCAAGGTTAATTTTAATTCCATTTTTTTGTTCCAGCTAGTGCTTTGTCTGATGAAACTTTACAATGTAGCTGCCCTCACATCAAAGTCTGAACCCAAAGTGAATATATGACTTTATAAACGCTGTGACAGGTCTTGCCGACCCGTGCTGGCTCTGACAGTGTCCTTTTCAACACCATCCAGCGACTGTGTTGGGATGCGTAACCCGGCCAGTACAGTACATCTCTGCACGGCTTGGCTCAGCCGTGTTAAAAGGCTATTTGTGTGTTATACTGGAGCTTCCCAGACAATCACTTTGTATTCGACTGGTCGTGAGGTTCGTGTTTATTTTTGTTGTACACTTAAGTTAGTCATTGTGCCCTGTGCCGTGGCTAGCAGCAAATCATCTACTCCACTAACAGAGCCCACTTTATAGGAAACAGGCCTACCGTAGAACCACTGACCAGCAGGGCCTGTATTCAGAGTATACTAAGTACTGATCTAGGATCAATCTAGCCTTTAAATTCATAATGAATAAGATTACATTGGCCTGTATTCACAAAACATCTCAGAATACGAGAGAGTTTGATCTGGCTTTTCTTCAGGAGAGGCCATGATCTGGCTTTTTTCTTCAGGAGAGGCCATGAAAAGTTAACATCAACAATTCCTCCACTTCAAAAACAAAAAAAAAGGTTGCAAAACAGATACAGAAAAAGAACACCACTGTACAAAAGAGAAAACTAGCTGTGACTCCGCTGCAATGGATCAGTATAAATGCTACTTCAAAGTTAATCTACTAGACCAAGACATCTCCTTGATGAATGTCAACAAAAGAATATATGCCACTTGGCAGATGCTTTTATCATAAGTGACTGCAGTACAGCGAGTGCATATATTTTTACTATGAACATTTGTATTTTATTTTACTATGAACAATTGTATTTTATTTTACTATGAACCCATGACCTTGACGTCGCTGTACAATGTACCTTCTGTGATAACCTTTGAGTTCCCTGTAGAAATGTATTATTATCTGTGCCAGTGTGGATGCAGAGAGAGGGGGAGATGGCACAACACAGCAGTCCAGACGATGTTTAGCCAATTAGACTGTTTATGAGCTTGAAGAGTTCTAGTTGGCAGTACTGGAATCTAATTATGTAATTTGGTTAAAACAGCCATCAAACCTTGTTTTTCAATTACATTATGCCAAGCTTGGTCTGCATTCTGACTGTTGAGAGCAAGGACTTACAACCTCTTAGTCAAGATGCTTTTTTTTTTTAAAAGGGAAGGTTTTCTCATCAGAATATCCTGAAATACACTAAAGTCTATTGAGATTTCTACGAACATTCTGTCTGGAACCCCTCTTGTTTCAGTTCCATATCACAGACACACTGTAGCATTGTTTAATATATGACAATATAGTACCATAACTCAACTAATTTAATCAGTTTACGTTTCCACTATATGTATATATATATATATATATATATACACTGCTCAAAAAAATAAAGGGAACACTAAAATAACACATCCTAGATCTGAATGAATGAAATAATCTTATTAAATACTTTTTTCTTTACATAGTTGAATGTGCTGACAACAAAATCACACAAAAATTATCAATGGAAGTCAAATGTATCATCCCATGGAGGTCTCGATTTGGAGTCACCCTCAAAATTAAAGTGGAAAACCACACTACAGGCTGATCCAACTTTGATGTAATGTCCTTAAAACAAAAATCAAAATGAGGCTCAGTAGAGTGTGTGGCCTCCACGTGCCTGTATGACCTCCCTACAACGCCTGGGCATGCTCCTGATGAGGTGGCGGATGGTCTCCTGAGGGATCTCCTCCCAGACCTGGACTAAAGCATCCGCCAACTCCTGGACAGTCTGTGGTGCAACGTGGCGTTGGTGGATGGAGCGAGACATGATGTCCCAGATGTGCTCAATTGGATTCAGGTCTGGGGAACGGGCGGGCCAGTCCATAGCATCAATGCCTTCCTCTTGCAGGAACCGCTGATACACTCCAGCCACATGAGGTCTAGCATTGTCTTGCATTAGGAGGAACCCAGGGCCAACCGCACCAGCATATGGTCTCACAAGGGGTCTGAGGATCTCATCTCGGTACCTAATGGCAGTCAGGCTACCTCTGGCGAGCACATGGAGGGCTGTGCGGCCCCCCAAAGAAATGCCACCCCACACCATGACTGACCCACCGCCAAACTGGTCATGCTGGAGGATGTTGCAGGCAACAGAACGTTCTCCACGGCGTCTCCAGACTCTGTCACGTCTGTCACGTGCTCAGTGTGAACCTGCCTTCATCTGTGAAGACCACAGGGCGCCAGTGGCGAATTTGCCAATCTTGGTGTTCTCTGGCAAATGCCAAACGTCCTGCACGGTGTTGGGCTGTAAGCACAACCCCCACCTGTGGACGTCGGGCCCTCATACCACCCTCATGGAGTCTGTTTCTGACTGTTTGAGCAGACACATGCACATTTGTGGCCTGCTGGAGGTCATTTTGCAGGGCTCTGGCAGTGCTCATCCTGCTCCTCCTTGCACAAAGGCGGAGGTAGCAGTCCTGCTGCTGGGTTGTTGCCCTCCTACGGCCTCCTCCACATCTCCTGATGTACTGGCCTGTCTCCTGGTAGCGCCTCCATGCTTTGGACACTACGCTGACAGACACAGCTAACCTTCTTGCCACAGCTTGCATTG